AAGGACCAATGATATGGTTTTCTAGATTTCCTGACAAAACATTAACCTTTTGAGGGTATTGCATGTGTTCTTTTCTCATCCAGTGAGGATTTTCTGTTGATCAGTAGCGGCAATTTTGCTGATTATCATGACCGTTAAGGGACAAAGTACACTCATCAGAAAACATAACGTCTTCTAATTGGATGATAATGTTATCCAACATGTTCATTTGCTAACAAAAATAAGTTCTTCTATCAGAATTATCTTGCTTGAGCTCCTTAGTAGGTATCCATTCATAGGGATGCATTTTATTTTTTTTTAATATGTTTACTAACGGTGTGTGGCTAACATTGAATGTAATGCTTGTCTGTCTACTCGATGTATGTGGGTTTTCCTCAAACTCAAGCATCACATATAATTTGAGTTCATCAATCATTGCATTGGCAGCTGTTTTCTTTTTCTTCTGCCCCACATAACCAAGCTCGCGAAACTGCTATTTTGCTTATTGTTCCTTGAGATATAGGCAGTAAATTAGAAAATTCCTCATGGAATTTGCGAGCTACTTCCTGTTGAATTCGGGTTTTATCTCCGTAACCAATCATTTACAAAACTGTAATTTTAAGCATTTCCGTTAATCTAACGATTTGTCAGACTTGTAGTTAACAAACTTCAAACTTAAATTAAAATACTGACAACTGATGTTGTAACATACAAAACAAGTCGGCAAGGCGTTTTAAACTAACGTTGCCACTGAAACTATTTACATTTTTTTAAAGGATACCATCTAAAAAGAACATCGCTATGGTTTTAGCCTACTTTCTTATTATTAATACCTTATCATGAAATAAGTTTTGAGTATATTTTATCGAATTTCGGTAACCACATGATTTCAATTTATTTTATCTCAATTGTTGCAATAAACTTGAAAGCGGTAACATTTTCGAATAGAGAATGAAGAGACCTTCCAAGCGATATATCACAAGCCTATACTTCCCATTTTAAAAAATTGGGATTAAATCTGTCATTTGAAGGAGGTTGAAGGTAGGGTTAGCATTTTTCCGTTGAAGTATGTCAAATTATAATTTAAATTTGACGTGTTTCATTATTTTGGTAAAGTATATACCGTAACCGAGATAATGAATTTATTCCATTTGGCTTTCACGCACTGTATAAGTAATAAATATCCTTATTTTGAATATCGAATGACATTAATAAAGAAGGTACATTTTTTGTTTTACATGAATATATCGAGCTCTAAAAATAGCAAATGCTCTAGCTAACTGTCAATATCGGATGCCATCACCTTTTGAGATAATAACATATTCAACAACTTCAAGCAATATCTGAGTCAAAATTTCGATGAGCAATTTTAGGTGGGAGCTTGACTATGATGATACGCAATGATAGGACTCATCATAGTATTTTATTGCGATTACATATAGAATCAGTTATTGAAAAGGTTATAAGAACCTCAAAAAAGTTGAAGTGACATTGGTGTTATTGGAATTCAAACGCATTTCGGATTTATTTCAGTTTTCTAGAAATAGGAAAGGTCAAATGTTTCAACAAAATACATACAGATTATATCTCCAATCTCCCCTAGCAGTTATTATAATGTCGTGATGGTCAGATTATAAAATGCATATCAAACGTCTGTCCGCTTAATTTATTCACCGCACAAACTGATGGCTATTTACGCCTTGTATCGGACATTAGGTATTAATCTTCATATAATTTCAGAAAGTGTTGTACCTGCAGGTATTTGCATTATTGTGTTTCAACAAGTTTTATTAATTATCAATCGTGTCAGTTGTGGGTAAGCAGACTTCCTATTGTCAAGTGTAGCAGTTTTCGGTGATAGTGAATCAAGTCCATCACCTGTGAGTGGAATATTCAAAAGTAAAAACTGTACAGTACTAGTAAAATTTCGAATTACAAACCTCAACTAGTGTGTTCATACCTCTGATGAAAATGATAAGATGTTCGAATTGTTGACAAAGTTAGTGAATAAATATATAAGAATACATAAATGTCCTATGAATATAAAACTATAGATAAAATATAATGTAAACTAAAGTATACAAACACTGAATAAAAAATCATAAGCAATGGTTGAAACATACATACACATAAAACATGCTTGGTTAAAATTATCGGTATAGAACTTAGTCAAACTGTAATACTACTACTGTAAGTCTACTACTCAAAATTTCTTCAAAAATTTTTCTGTACTGATTGGTATCAATATTTATCTCTTTAGTTTTACTCGGCAGATGGTTATACATTTTCACACCATGGTAAAATAAGGAGTTCTTGACCAGAGAGTTGCAAGGGATAGATAATTTTAAATTTTTTTGCATGCTCTGACGAGTTGTATAGTGATGGGTGGTAACCTCAAGTTTCACAAAATGTTTCTTAATTAAACACACTGTTTTCAGGGTAAAAAGAACTACAACCGTCAACATTTTTTTATCTATAAACAGTTGCCTGCAAGAGTCACGAGGTTTAGCTTTGCACAAGTATCGTATCTCTTCTGTAATAAAAATACAGACTCCAGAAAATTAAGGCTACACACACCCACAAAAAGGTATACCGTACCTTAAGTGAGACTCTACCAAAGCGTGATATGCTCTTTTCGCAGTATAAACTCCCAGTATGTAAAAAATATAGAGTACGGACATAAAAAGTCCCCCCTCTTAACGTTTGATTGAAACAAATATCAAAGTCAGATAGAATAAACATAAAAAAAGCATCATTTGTAGTACTGAAGTATTGTCTGAATAACGCTATAAACAGTTTTTCAGATAAAAGGAGAGGGGGTTGTGATACATCGTATGGCAACTATTGTAATGAATGAAATTTATTACACTTGCGAAACAAGTAACTCAAAAACTTGAAGTAGGAATTAGAACAACTAACCGAATATGAACATCCGTCGTCTTGTTAGATGACGTCTCACGCTAGTGTAGGCTTCAACTGCTAATATCTTTTTCTTTTGTCTAGATATTTTAATAATTCGTTTACAGTTATGTTATATTTTACTCAGATGTTTATAGATTTTTTCAGGTATTTCAAATCAGTTTATGTCATTTTAAAAAAGTGTTTATAATTAATCTATATTGAGAAATGAAAACGTATCCACTCTAGAAAGTGATAGAACATGTGCCTCAATTGAGTGACGTCAAAAGGATGTTAGTTTCTGCGTGTTGCCGAGTGTGAATATTTGTCTAACTTCTGAATGCACTCAACTTTGTCGGGCTTCCAAATATGAAGAGGTTATGTGGTGCAATATTTCTGTGTATTCTGTCAACTTAGCAGTACTAGGTCTCCTACTATTTTGTTATTGTTCTTTCATGTTGAGTAGTTATTATACTTGTTCTTGAGTGAGTTTTGGATATGAAAAATTAAATTTTGAAATATCCGCAGTCACTTCTTCCTATATGATTGAGCAACGTTTGCTATCATATATTCAACGAAAAGACTTGCGTACAAGTAGCTGGAAAAGTTTATGTACTGTTCAATAACATTTCATGTATTATTCAATAGAATCGAATTCGCAACTGATATACTCGTAAATCAAGATCTGAATGGAGATATTTTCTTACTTCATTAAAATACATTCTTACGGAGTATGTAAGAGAATTTCTGTGGATTGCATCAACCTGACAACACTGATTCATATCATTATTTTTTGGTATAGTATTGTTGAAAAGTGTTGTTCATTTCCATAGAGTGCGTTTTAAGTTACTGGATACTAAATGAAGTTTTAGTTGTATAATGCTGCTGTTTCATAGGAAAGTATATAGTTGTTTCGGGGAGATTTTCCTTCCAGTTTGTATCTGAATGTAACTTCTTTGCATGATCTACGACCTTTCTTTGAAAATGGTCTATTATAATTCAATTTGATGCCTGTTTCTGTTGGTTATATAACCGTTATCGGAAATACATTATTCATATTTTTAACGAAACTTTTTCAATCATGTATGTATGACTGTCATGTTTCCGTCGGCATGTCATTATTTTTATATAATTTCGTAAATTTTAATAAAACATAATGTATCATAATATTGAATAAAACCATCTTTTTGTCTGTTTTTCAGAGGGTGATTCATTTGGAGCGATTTTCTAGAAGTTTCGCTGATACGAATGTCTGTTTTCTCTGTATGTATACTTTAGCTGTGTTCTCCTGAAGAGTGTGTAAAGTATTTTCAGGGATATACCGAATCGACATTTCAGCCAGAGATCGTAAACACTACAATGTCCAGAGCTTCTTGAGTTTCAAGCACATATATAACGACAAGTAGGTACTTAAAAATATATGTGCAAACAGTACTACGTATCGAATTCATACCGACGGCTTCATTTGGAAATTTTCTTTAAAAAAATAATATAATTTATTTTAATCCCTACATGGTACCCACCTATTTGCTCATTTAAGTTTAAGATGTCAATTTCGTATATCTCTGGAAACCTTATGAATGTCAAAAGTAAAATAATATTAACACATTGTTATTGTAAACGAGAAACAAATAAAAATCAAAGTTAAAATAGGTATGGGATAAAACTAAAGAACAACGGTTTGCAAAATCTCCCTTATCAATAATATGCAACATTTTATCAGATACTTTTGAGCTAGTTAAAAATCAGCTTACCGACAGAAATGTGTTTAGGAATGTATTTGACCTTGAGGAATCACAATGTCCTAAACATTTAATGACACCCTATTATGATGCTTCACCTAATAGAGACAACCTACAGAACCATGACCCAGAATCCTGTTATAACAAATCACTCGAATATGGTTATATAACGAATTTATTCAAACAGATTGTGATAACATACACAACTGAAACTTAAAAATGAACCGGTAATGTACAGAAATTGTGCACCAAACAAACCCATGTGGTATATAGTAACTAATCTGCACTTGACCTAACCTTGTCTCGCCTCTCATAAAGCAATAAAAACCGCAAACCACATTAATCCGAACCATCTGTCTAATAAACAATAATTTGTCTTACCTAGATTTGCGGTCATACCTTCCAGGTCCTTGGGTTTCCGCTTCCGCGGTCGTCCCTTTTGTCGTGGCGTCGTCGGCGCGCCGTTAAAGAAGGGAGGGACTTTACCGATCGGTTCGGCGGCTGTCTGCGGGGGCAACGAGGGGTGGTGGTGGTGAAATTCGGGACTCGGGAACGGAGGCGGGTAGTGGTGAAGGCCCGGGGGAAATATCCCCGCCGGCATCGATTCCGACATCGGCATTTCGAAGTAATGTAACCGACACAACACCGAGCCGTTTCTCATGCCGAACTGATCTCCTTTAGTCAGAATCGCGTTACAAACTTCACATGAAAAACAATGCACATGAAAAACTAAGTCCTTCGCTCGCATCACTAGTTCTGACGATAAGATCGTCGCCTGACATCTTCCGCATCTTTTCATACCGAATAATCTGAAACAGAAACAAAAATTATTTTCCCCAGAGCTTCAAAATGTCTAGCTTCACTTAAATATACATCTCGTTTCATCTCAGCATCTTCTCTCTTGGATTTTAGTGCGTATAAATCAAACAATATTTGATATAGTAACAGAAACCGGAGGTATAGGTAATCTTTTTGTTTTATATCAATGATTTCAACTATCTTATTATTAAGTGTAGTGGAAGAGAAAACGCATGCTATCGTATAAATATGTGACGGTTCATCTCAAAAGGTTTGATGTATTCATTACGTAGAGAATGTGCATCTAATAAACGGGATTCATAAATACCTCAGTAATAAACTCTTTTCACGGCAAATATAAGAAAAAATTCACGACAGATCTCGTTATCGGAACTATCGGCGAAGAAGAATAATTCATATTCGTACAGGAAGTTTGCATTAAAACTCTCTTTTTTCCCTCGACTGTTATATTTTAAGTAAAGTGTTGACATAAAAGAATGGTATCACATAGAACTTGTAAAGTCATCAGGAGTTTGCTGCCCCTTTTGACTTTGGAATGCGGGAATCTTCCAAAGAAAGGAAAAAGCAATCAATTTCAAAAATTAACTTTTCATAAAGATGTATAGATCATTGTAAAGAAGTAACTTTCAGACATAAACTGGAAGAAGAAATCCTCTCGAATTAGATATTTTTATATAAACTTTGAGTTACACGAAAGAAAAATACTTTCGAAACAACTACTTTCAGATGAACGCTGAAATATACGAAAAATATTCTTTCTATTCCATTTGTATTCCGAATATTCGTAATGAAATCTATTCAGATATCATTCACAGGATTCCTACACAATATAATTGATGAAAGAAGAAAAAATTCACTTACATGAGCATGACCAGATCAATATTATATAACTGAGTATAATGTTTAAATTGAATTGGTATATTTTCAGGAGGGATTAATTTTTGGGAAAGAAAGGTTTTTTGGCTTTCTTCTTCTCCATCTTGATACAAAAATGTATAAATCTCTCAAAGAAGGGAAGGAAGCAAGTTACTTCTTTCCATGATCTACATATATTTGTATAGAGATGGAGAATTAGCAAGCCAGAAAACCTTTCTTTTCTAAAAACTGAGTTCCTATGCCATTTAAAACATCAACCCCTTTTCCTAAAAATGGGCATTTACACTCTCAGGCTCAGTACCTACATTTCAAGTACCTGAGTTTTACCTGAGTTTGTGATGAATTAAATTACCTGAGCTTATGTCTCAGATTCCACATTTGACAAAAATATTCAGTAACGTGAAGTTTGTTCAATCGTAGTTGATCATTACGTAAATTACCCAAATTCCTGAATCTATTGATTTNGTCATAAGTTTTTTGCAGTTATTTGTATCTCGAAAACGAATGGTTTTTCGATAAACATTTTATAAGAAAAAGTTGTTTATTTTGACGAGATCCATCACATACTTAGTTTTTGTTATGTTCTCAGCAACTTCACTTAGCACCCTAAGAGCTAAGTAAAATGCATCGATACAGAAAATTGTAAATATCTTGAAAACGATCACGTTCAGCGTTGTTGAGGAAATTTACCATTTATACTTAGGAAAGGTGTGGAAATTAGGTTTTTTCATGAAAAGTATAAATAGTGACATCGTACGCAGCGCCCTCTAGATGTTACATGGAAATTAATACAAAATTATGATTTCCCACATCAGAAAATCTGCGAATATCAAAGTTTGTGCAAATAACTTATTTTCTGCAAAAGTTATTTTTAAAAAACGAACAGAAAAATTCAATTCAACAACCTGTATCTACAAAACGAAGCATTTACAGACACAAGTTCATATAGACTTTTCTCTCAAAATTGTCTCAGGAGTACACCACTTGAATATTTTAATGTACTTATCTAACATCCTGTATAATATCATCTTTAGTAATCCCAACCATAGGCCTAATGTGGTATTCCGGCGACTCAGCAGTTTCAAGTCAAGACACATTAGAACGTTATGAGAGAACCAAATATCATTGATTGATAACCAGTAATATCTTTTTTAATTTCAATTTCTCGATTGACTTCAATAGCAATGATCAATTATTTCACCCATTCAATCTTAAAAACACACAGACAAATTGAATGGAACTTTCAGATACTTAGTAAAAATTTATATCATAATTCACTAATACAGTTTATTGTAGAAATAACAATGAATTGTATTAGTAGGTACTACTTTCATTATATCAACCTTCCAAGTTACTATGTTCAGGTTCCAGATCGAAAATATTGTTAATTGTTGGTTGGTTCATAATGTAATTTTCAAGTTTTTATGGGATTTCATGAATATTTATTTACGAAAGATGAGAGATTGAACATGAGAAGATGAGATTTTGAAGTTATTTCTATTCAGCTTTGACGAGATAAGCATTCGTGTTCTCGAATAGAGAAAGAAAATGTAGTTTAGTGACATTTCGCATATCAATATTATCAACTCAATATACTCTTGATTCAGCCATATTGTTTTTATAAATTTTTGTTGGTTCCATTCCCCGAAGAGACATTTAAATACTTGTTCATGGAGAATGGTGATGTATCGACTTACATTTGTCATGAGTGAAATGAAATATCATCATCCATTTCAATCCCTGACAGAATCGATACAAGTCCGCCTCTGACGAAGGATATAATAGTGAACTTCAAAACCATTGAGGCTATGCATGGAGCAACGTATATTATTCTAAAGTTTGATACTTCTGAACATACGACCCACTTTTTACAATGACTGACTCCAAACAATTGGGATAACTGAGATTAAGCTTGACATAGTAATATATGTATTGCTATGAGAACATTATTGTAGCTTCTTTGTCATAACACAGTAGGGTGCATTTCGTTTGTCCGCATTTATGTTTATAGGGCATGATAATAAGTATTATTATTTTGCAGTCAAGTTACATGAGAATTTATCACGGATTTGATTTATAGTATAATTAAAACTTGTCACACGTCAACATCTATCTTTTGTTTAGCGAAACGACGTAAAATCGTTTGACTTGAAGTTGAAAATTTGTTTTTCCGTGAAAGCTTTCGTTGGTTACAAATGGAAAACGTGTTTTTTGAAGTAGAACTTGTCAGATAAAATCGAACTACATATTGAAAATAATTTATTTTCGAGTAACACAGAAACTGGGATATCAGAAAATGCGGATTGAAATTAATCCTTACCAATGTTGCTAATTGCAACATTGTTCTCTTATAGTCTTATTTCATGTAGATCCAGTTTATTTATTTATTCTTCAAACGCGTATTCATTGCATAGTTTGTATTTTTTTCCAAACTCAGTTGAACGTTATTTTTCAAAGTCTCTCAACTCACGGTATGAGAAAAATGAAGAGTATAACCAGGAAAGCAGTGAAATCAAAAAAATCTTCAGCGATGACAATCAGAGCATTTTTGTTACCTGTCAGTTTATTAACGTTTACTTGGGTGAAAAAGTTTAATGTGCAATTGTCATGGAGGTATAAATATCTGAATCAATTCAAGTGTGTGCTTCGTTTGTTTGATGAGTTAGTTGAATCAGGAAAAATTAATGAATATTGAAGCGAAGAGTATAAAAATTGAAAAAATGTGAAAACGCTAATTTGTAAAGGAAACAAAGTATTGTAACCTGAAATAAGAGTGAATTGGAATGTAAAATATGCCTATACAAACAATGAAAATAAGACGAAAACAAAATAATCAAGATGAATTTTAAAAGAAGCAAAAGCTAGAAAGCAAAATAATAAAATATTTCACCAAGTTAGTTCACGTCGTTTGTAAGTATCAACAACCGTCTTCGGGTGATAACAGTTATCACTCATTTTCAGTCCAGATTGATGAATATAACTACTGGGCGAAGGTATTTTGTACGCATGATAGTCAGCACCTGAAACACGAAATGATGTGGTAAAGTAATCCCTAAGACTGTACCATAACTTAGATGTGAGTGAAATGTTGAACGGTCAGTAGAAAAAAAGGGGTTTAGAATATTTTTGAACGCCACAATTGAAATAATTTATAGAAAAGCTTTCTACATAACTGGTCAATATGTAAATTCCAACTTAAAGGTGAAATTGGAACCTCTGGCGTAGAATAAATCCACAACAAGCACTTTCTCCAGTCATCAGAAATGCAATACTCTTCCCGACGCGCGTTTCCTTAAACAAGTTGGTGGCTTCAGTAGATGAAGTTTTCTTCATCAAAAATAATCTGTCTCGACCCGCGTTTCGTTAACCAAATTATCATCATGAGATGACTGAGAGAGCTGTCTGATGATGCTAACTTGGTTCTGGTATATGTACCAACTGAATTGCAAAGTTTCTTAAAATGGTAAAATGTAGTATTATCGGCAAAACAGATACATTCGTTCAAGGACAATATCATTAAGATAAATCATAATTAGAAGTGGGCACAAAGTATTACCCTGAGGAAGTCTATGAGTTATCCTCTAAAACACTGACTGATATCTATTGAGTAATAATAAGGATAATTTCCAGAGGTACTCGCCGGATACTGAAAGTTTAATGTATCTGATAGTCTTTCGTGAGAAACTATTGAAACGTTTCACAGGGTGATTTCTGTATTGCCGTCCTTCAAGCCAGTCAACTACATGCACAATATCATTTCATATTGCTTATACTGTAAAAAAGTTAGCTCGGAAACCACATTGACCTATATGCAATAGATTTTGTTGATAGAACCGTTCTTTCAATAATAAGTGAAATGTCGATAACATGTAGATAATACGAACAACTAAAGTTTGATATTGGTAAAAAGAAATTGATTTCAAACCGAGATTGATTTGATCAAAGTCATTTCTGATGTCTATATGGTCATCCGAAGACAAAATAGTAACTCTGTTTTTTACCATTTTCCAGTAACATATGAACATATTCGGTTGGAGAGGCAGAGGAACTGAAAACAGAAAATATGCAAACACTTTTTCAGTGATGTAGATTGCAACTGTGCGACTGTGCAATC